GGAAAGGTTGTAAAACACGGATTGCTGAGCTTCATAGCCATAGTTTCTGATTCAGTGGGTCTGGGAAAGAAGTTGAGAATTTTCATTCCTTTTTTTTTTTTTTTTCAAATTCACTGAATATCATCTTATTGCTTTTTTTAATTGAAGTATAATGGATTTACAGTATTATGTTAGTTTCACGTGTACAGCATAGTGTTTCATTCTTTTTTCCAGATTATACTCCATTATAGGTTATTATAAGATGTTGGGTACAAATCCCTGCATTTCTAACAGGCTCCCAGCTGCCACTGCTGCTACTCATCTGGGGACCACACTTTAAGAACTAATGCTTTATATGAGTATTAAATGAAACTGAGAGTTGATAATAAGCAAATTAAGATAGAATCATTAGAAACTTTCTATTGATATATACAAAAGTGATATTCAAAATATTTAACAAGCCACTGAACAGTTAGAATGCACACTGGTCTTAATCCACATGGCTGAACCTATGCAGATGGCCTCAATATTAGATTTGAGTGAGTGTATGCAACATAAAAACAACCGTACAGGGCTTCCCTGGTGGCGCAGTGGTTGAGAGTCCGCCTGCCGATGCAGGGGACACAGGTTCGTGCCCCGGTCCGGGAAGATCCCACATGTCGCGGAGCGGCTGGGCCCGTGAGCCATGGCCGCTGAGCCTGCGCGCCCGGAGCCTGTGCTCCGCAACGGGAGAGGCCACAACAGTGAGAGGCCCGCGTACCGCAAAAAAACAAAACAAAACAAAAAAAAAACAACTGTACAGAGATAAATACAAATTTTAAACTTTTTTCCAGGAGTAGTTTTTCAATAGTTTTCAAAATAAAAATCTAAAGTAAGTGTTTTAGAGTTTAGGATACTATATCTTTTTATCATTTCATTTTTTTTCATATCCAAAACAACAATCTAAGTTAAAGTTTTGAAATCAGATAATTTTCTTAAAAAATAAAGAATTCCTCTGTTCAAGTATTATCTCGTGTCTCCCCAAAGAGGATGGTAACTTCTTTCATAACCACTCTTTATTTTTCTGATGTTACACTTTAATAGGATACTGTTCATTTTATTTTAATAAAAATTTAATGTGATGAAATGACATCAGAAACTAACAAAGACCACCTTGTTCTTTTTGAAATCACGTGTTCATGAAAATGAATTGGTTATCATTGCCATATATGTATGCTCATAGTCTTCAAAAGCATATCACGAGACTTTATGCCAAAGACATGCAGATTAAAATTGTACAAACAAGGTATTGGAGCTAAGGGAATAAAAGGATGCATGAACGTTAATTTTGCAGTGAGTTTCACAGAATAATAGTGCTTTATAACAAAGCCTCATAGATAAGCAAAATAGATGTGTGTATATGTGTGCATGTGTTTCAAAATGATGAAACTCTTCCAAGTGTTCGCCATTTCACGGTTATTTTTATCTACTTTGGAACTTCAGTTGCCTTTAAACCTGAAGGCTTTTTGAAATACTGAAGACAAATTTTGAAGATTGAAAAGTCTGACTGGCTACTGAAGGCTAGGATTGGTACTGACATTTAAAGTGGCATCACTATTCCGCAGGAATGTGTGTGCATACCTTGAATGTCACCGCTTGCCTCTGGGATGACACTTGTTAGATTTCATGGTGTCATGTGCTAGTTCAAGGTCGGCGATAGTGATTTTTACACTATACCCGAATATTCCATTTATGATCTAAAAGGAACTTGTTGAAAGCAATGTTTTCTTGTTCTCTGTGTACTTTGATCACCTAATTCTCTTTGAGTTTTAAAATACAGAATTCTGACATGTACTGTGATGAAGTAGTACACTTACTTAACTTTGAAATCATTCCTGTGAAAAATAATAGTCTGTTTGTGTTCAATGGTTCCCAGGTTTCTGAGGATGACTTGACTCAGAGACTGGCTAAGAAATAATTGGAGGGAAAATGGCATGCTACGTACACCCAGCACCTCTCTGCCCAAAGGCAAAGCAGATGAACCCCAAAGACACATCTCTGTCCAACTACTGCTTTTTGAAAAATCTCTCAGCATGATTCCTTCTTAGGCTGCAGCTTTGTCTACAGTCACAGAAAGGTTAGATGTGGCTGAAAAATCTATCCAGTCCAGTGAAGTGGGCTAACAGGGTAAGGAGAGCTGTCTGGGCTTTCTTCATTTACACAAGGAACACGCCTTTATGCAACACACCTGTATCAAGGGGGCTTGCGGCAACATGGATGCAACTAGAGATTCTCATACTAAGTGAAGTCAGACAGAGAAAGACAAATCCCATGTGATATCACTTATATGTGGAATCTAAAATATAACACACATTAACTTACCTATAACAGAAACAGACTCACAGACATAGAGAACAGACTGGTGGTTGCCAAGGGGGAAGAGGTATGGGGGAAGGAAGGATTGGGAGTTTGGGGTTAGCAGATGCAAACTATTATAGAGAGAATGGATACACAACAATGTCCTACTGTATAGCACAGAGAATTATATTCAGCATCCTATGATAAACCATAGTGGAAAAAAATACAAAAAAAGAAGAGTTCAGGGGGCAGTATACATAGATATTAAAATTAATACCAGTAGAACCCAAGAGCAGTCCAATAAATTATACAAACATAAAGATCGATGACAAAGAAAATTTACAGTATCCAGAAGGGTTATCTGTCTGCATTCTGTTTACAACTTGTATATCGACTTCTACCCCTAGCACACACACACCCTACACCACCACAATCACATTGAGGCTACCCCGATCCGCCTCCACTATATCCAACATTTCCCCCGAAATTCTACAGGTCTCTCCATAGCATTTTGGACCTTCATACCATTCAACTTTTTCTTTTCAAATTTGTGGGAGGCTCGCTTGCTTTTTTTTTTAATAGCAGATATTTTTAATTATTATCAGGGTGCTTTGGGACTATTATTCAATTAACACATGCACAAGTGAGTGTGCATATTGTCTTCTTTTGTTTTGCTTTTTAACATATCAGGGGTCTCAACTGGGAGCCTGCCAACTATTGGTAATTTGATCACCCTCTTTTCCCCACAACTCCCTGAGCCATTTCACTTGTTGGAAGCATTGGCTTAGCTGTATGTGTGCAGGGGTTTTTTTTTTTTTCAGCCGGGGGGCGCGGGATATAAGTACACTCTTAAGTGTCAGGATTCTTTCGGAGTAACTTTCTTAATATCTAAAATAGTGACATTCACCTGGTCCTATGGTGTATTAAAACAAAGTCATATCTGATTTGAAATACCACCGAGAATATAGATTTGCCAGGAAACTTAGAATGAAAGTATATGTACAAAATGTATATTTTGAAGGTACATGTGGGGGTAGCACTGTTTATCTCAACCTCATATTTTAATATGCATTATATATAAAGCATTCACTTCTATACCAGGAGTGGGAGATGAACCTTGCTTTAAGGGAAAGTACATCACCAGCTGTCTAGAGAAGATGACCGACTATATATTGTGCAATTAATTGAATACAGCATCATGCCCTCAAAAGATATACCCAGAGGATTTGAATTATTGGAAATAAATCAGGAAGGAGAAAAAAGGGACACCACTCTGTCCATCAAAATAGCATTTTCCATGTAGAATCAAACCAATCCAATCTATCACTGGTTCCTCAATTAACTATAGTAAGTCTTAACTTCATAGTTTGACTCACACTATGTCTTTTGACGTTATGTGTTGTTGGAAAACTGATGCATGAGTGTCCTCTCTGTTCAAACTGTTTCTAATATACAATTTCCTTGTCCAGTGTTCTTTCAATAAAGGTACCTAGTCCTTTGAGGATACTTGTCAGAATGATGCAAATGAAGGTGTGGATTATATATTTATCTACTTATAAAAAGATATTATACTGCAACACCCTACCTACTACAGTTGCTGTGATGAAGAGGCCAATGTGCATTTTTCTGGCAAAATGGAACATTGGGTTTAAATAAGTCATGGGAAGTGATGCGTAGATACTATACAGAATTAGTCCTCCACCGAGATTTCTTCCTTGTGAGGTCATAGTTTTAAAGGTTTTGAGCTGGAAAACCTTCTAATCTAAGAATCTCCCTGCCCACTTCCACCTCACCCTAAACCACAAAGGCTTCCCCGTCACCACCAATAAATTAACATTAATAAATATATATTTTTTAAGATGATTTTCTATCTCATTGTCTCTCCAATACCAAAAGATAAGGTTAAGAAAATATAAACTTGGGAATATATATATTACTATTTATAGAAATCTCAGAAAGCAAAGGCAAAAGTATTGCATCGGCCCCATGAAGTGCTCAAAACACACTGGATCCTCCTGGCAATGGACCAGGGCACAAAGGACACACGTGTTGAAAGAATACCTTGAACTCAGACTACCCTCTGTGGGAAGCAAAGAGAAATAAAGAATCATAAAATTGCCTAGCTTCCATATACTCCATTTGGACTTCAGCAGTGCATTTGATTTTGAACTCTCACGCTCCCATCTCAGCCTCCAGGGTGCCTATTTCCCTTGTTATCGGTGAATTTTTCCTGGTAGACACCTGTTGGGTCCTGTATTAATAAGACACATTGTAGGAGGAGAAACATATTTCCGGAGCCAAGAAGGTGAGAGCTACTCTTTCTAGGGCCCTTGTTAATCTTTGGGAGCCCAGCATCTTCTGTGACGGAACAAAGGCAATACAGTTGTAAATTCTTATTTTTTTTTCTCCCACTCCACAAAGAAAATGTTGTTGCTATGTTAGTGTTCATCTACATTTTTCTGAAGAGAAGCAATAGAATATTTCTTCCTTCCATCCAGAGGTTTTAGAACTTGATTCCCTTTGCTTCGTAGCATCATTCTAAATAGAACCCCACCGTTTGACCACAGCCACAATTCGCGTGAATGGTACCTATTATTGAAAGGGAGTCTGTATTTGCAGTAATACAGAGAATGCCAGTTTAGAAATGAGCCTGATTGCATGGTTCATTTTGTTCTCCTTTGTAGAGCCAGGCTGCGGCCCACTACAAAGGCACGAAACATGCCAAGAAGCTCAAAGCACTGGAAGCCATGAAAAATAAGCAGAAATCTGTAACTGCCAAGGACAGCGCAAAGACTACCTTCACCTCCATCACTACCAATACCATCAATACCAGCTCTGACAAAACAGGTTAAGCGATGCTCTTTGTTGTGTTACTGTCGTCCTCATCCTTGTTGTTCGGGGGCTCCTTCCCTTGCTTGACTGTATCTGTTGCTGGTGTTCCTTCCATCTTGATTCATGCTTGATCCATCTTTCTATGTAATGGTAATGCTTCCCCCTCATTTTTCCAGTACCCTTGAGCGATGTCGATAATCACTAGTAATGTTGCAGATTTTGCACTGGAAACAGTCCTATGGCTGTTTTAGAGGAACACAAGAGTCAGAAGGGCATCTAAAGCCATACCTCTTTTTGAGAAGTGAACCTTTCCGGTGTGTATCGTTTGCATCTTGTAGGCAAGCACGTTAGCCTATAACCGCATGGCAGATTTGATTGAACTGTGAGTACACAGCAGAATATGCCAAATGAATCAAGAAGGCCCCCATAAGGGCATTATTCCTGACAGGGTTTATTCTCATAAATCCCAAACATTGCATTGTTTTAAGTAGTGGCTGTGAGAATCTGGGCTTGTTATGGCTGGGTAACCTTCCCTCTGCATACACAGGTAAGTGTTATTGATACCAATTATTCTTTTTAACAGTCTTCACGGTGAAATGACGGCCTCTGAATGGTGCCTTGGGATAGCTCCTCAAGCAACCAGTGTATTCACGGCAGGGGAAGCCTGTGGGGTTTCCATAAGCTGGCATTTAAAAATATAAGACCACTGGTCCTCGAAACTTACATAAAAAGAGATCCCGTGTGATTCATGGATGTACACACATCCATTTAATGAATCACTTTCTAAGAATACAAGGGCTGGTATGTGCCAGTTGCCTTCCGGCCCCTACAAATAGCAGTGGTCAGGAAGCATTTATATTGTCATTTATGGGAATGTCTTACCTAGAAGAGATCTTCTGGCCCTGGCTGATGAAAATATAAAGTCAACAGTGAACCAATGCAACAGATTAAAGCGACGTTATTACACGCGGTACACCCATGAGACATATGATACATAGTCCTCAAAGGATCTGGAGAGATGCTTGCTCCTGTGTGAATCTGTAAGGGACGACAGTGTCCTCTGTGAGTTCCCACAACACATTTTATATACTTCATCTGAATATTATTGGTGCATGCATCATGCCTCCTTCCTGAGTAACCTGTATACTCTCTGAGGCTGAGTGACCTCTCGTCATCTTTGTACCCCAGCACCTGTCTGACGCGGGGTAGGTGCTGAGTAAAATGTCTGTTGGCTGCACTTTCTTTCATCCCTTTGATTCTCTGATTCATCTGGTTTTGTGTCACAACATATAAAGGGGGAAGAAGAAAAATAAAACTTGGCATGTTCATTTCTTTGGTATTCAGAGCAAGAGCTGAATTATACCGTCTTATTAATTTAGATGTAAAACCTTGTAGGGAACACATTATTCTTTTCTCCATTAATTGAAAAGTCACCACCCTATTTGGGGGCCTGTAGGGGAAATGAGCAGTCTTGAAGCAGTTGAGTGTAATTTCAGCTCCCAGATACTGGCATCTGGGATGGGATCCCTAAAGCCATACTCGCCATAGAGACATATATTTCATTTGCAAAAAGATAGTAGGTAGGAAGAATAAAGATGTAAATTTGATGTAAAAGGTTTGATATAAAGAGATGAGTTTGATGTAAAGTTTTTGCTCGTTGCCAGACTCTTCTACTCCTAGACATTTTTATCAATAATGGCTGTTTGGATTACCTTGATTTCTCTTTAAAATGCAAAAACTCCCTGTTACATTGAGATGCATGGCATTTAAAAATATATATATGTACATGGTAGGTAGAGCTGCTGACTGGGCTTAAGAAGTGCTCCCTTTGTGTCATCTCCGTTACATAAATGAGTTATGAATACATACCTCCATCCCTCACCTGAGAGACTAGAGTGGAAAGGCTCTGTCCTCTTGGAGGATGAATGGAAACTAGTTTGGACTGGGTTGTGGGACAGAGCCTACATAAGATAGACAGAATTCTAGTGGGGATGCCAGATTCACCTAGTGGTTGGAATGGTGTTGAAATGGTGAAGTGCCCTTTCTAGCTGGAGCTAGAGAAAATTCCAGAAGGACAGAGGGATAATAAAATCTGCAAAGTTAGTACAAATATCTTAAAGCCAAAGTAAGGAAGTGATGGGCATCTGGAAGGGGTTGGCTTCCTGATCCAAGGGGACCTCTACCCACAAAGAAATGGGTCATACAGGTTGAAAGACTAACGAGTCCAGCACACTCGCTAGGTGCTTTAAGCCAAACTCTATCCTTATCTGGGATTTCTGCAAAACTACCTATGAGAAGTCGCCCAAGAAAGCTCCTGGAATTTCATAGGCTCTTAGCCCATTCGTACTGCAGTATGAATCCGAGGCACCTATGCTGATAAATGGGAGTTTTCTTAAAGCGATTACTTGTCCTTTTTATTACTGCCTGTGTCCTCATACTGATTGGGAAGGAGCACAGCTCTGAAAACAGGATGGGTCTCTGAGCTAGTTTCTTACAACAGTTAAATACTCGGAGGCAGAAGGGGAAAGAGAGAACACTCTGAAATCAAAGACCACATATTTTTTAATGATAAAAAATTGTAACCGTTCTACTTAATGTAAAAAGTTGTTTTGGGGTTTGTGGACTTATCCATGCATAAAAGGTATAGAGACATTAAACCACTTTCAGTAAGTTTACCAAATTGTTCTTAACAAGAATTTAGTATGTATGTAGGCCAATTGCTTTTAAAAATGCTTGAGTATACAGTGATGTGATAGAGAAGAATCTTAGGAGAAGGTTGGGCAACAATAGTTAAAAAAAAAGAAAGCAAGAAGTGGTATAGACTTGAATTTAAAAATTGCTTAGGAGGTTTTCCTGGGATTCTTTAAAACACAAGAAATAGAATATTCATAAAAACCAAATTCTCATTCCAAATCTACTTACAAAAAGAGAATGTAGACAAACAATTCCTTCTAAATTCCTAAATCATGTATTGTGGGCTTAAATTGCTACCTTAGGCTAATAAATATATCTACATATTTGGGCTTACATGAGGGCTGAGGTCTCAGTCACTAACTTCGTGATCTTGGGATTCTTTTCCCCTCCTTCTACCAGTCTGCAGGCTGCAGTGGTAAGCAATTCAGTGATCCACCACCAGCCGCTCCCAGATAGCCTCGTTCCCCTACTGCTAGGCAAGAAGACACTCCCTAACGTTAATACATAATTTTAGTTCTTACAATCTAATGAGGAGTGTTTGGTGAATTTACACAAAGAAAAATTTATAGGCAAAAGTAATATTTTTAAAAATATTTCGAACACTCAAAATTGTTACGGGAGGGTGATTGCTATTCATTCACAGAATATTTCATGGAGCAAACATTTCCAAAGGTGACCAGAATAACTTTGTCTGACTTAGCGAGGTTTTTTCTTAAATTGAAGTATAGTTGCTTTACAATGTTGTATTAGTTTTGGTGCACAGCAAAGTGATTTGGTTTATATATATATACACACATATACATATATACATACATATATATATTATTTTTGGATTCTTTTCCATTATAGGTTATTACAAGATACTGAATATAGTTCCCTGTGCTACACAGTAGGTCCTGTCGTTTATCTATTTTATGTACAGTAGTATATAGTACTATCTGTTAATCCCAAACTCCTAATTTATCCCTCCCCATGTTTTTCTTTTAATGCAAGTTTTCTATACAGAAAAAGTAATGACAAAACTTAAGAAATTATGCTTAAAATAACTTGGCAAATATAGCTCAATTGATTTTTTTCTCCTGTGAAATGACACGTTCGCAGTTGTTGGATTAAGTCTTGTGCGAAGTCATCCTCTGGTCTTTCTTTACTTTCCCTTTGGGGACAATTTTATTCATTCCTATGACCTATCCATTAGGTTAGGCTAGGTGAATCTGCAGTAATAAACAACTGCCAACTCCTGGTGGCTTTTACAGCCACTAATTATTGCTCTCACACCCTACAGAGCAGCTATGGGTTTTTGTTTTTTGTTTTTTTTTTCCTTTGTTAATTTAACTCTAGGGCCAGGCTAATGAAGCAATCACTAGCTGGGCATTACCAGTTCTATGGAAGAGGAAAAAAGAAGGGTGTGAATCAATAGGCTTTTAAAGCTTTTTAATGCAAGTGACTTAACTTTCCTCTCCCTTTCCTTGGCAAGTCACATGATCAAGCCTGATTATAAAGGGCAGGGAAGAATAATCTTCTTCAGGGAAGGGGACAGATATTAGTGAGCAATAAAGCATCACATCCCACCATGGCTTCCGCCAGCCCTGTGTTGGAGTCTCAGCATTCCACATCTCCAGCCTTGTTCTTCTCCTGAAATCTGACCTGATTTCTTTTTTTTTTTTTATACATTTTATTTAGTTATTTATGTTTAAAACCCAGCTGCATTGTATCTTTGTCGCTGCATGCAGGCTTTCTCTAGTTGCAGCGAGTGGGGGCTACTCTTCGTTGCAGTGCGCAGGCTTCTCACTGTGGTAGCTTCTCTCGTTGCGGAGCATGGGCTCTAGGTGTGCGGGCTCAGTAGTTGTGGCGCACGGGCTTAGTAGCTGTGGTGCACGGGCTTAGTTGCTCCACGGCATGTGGGATCTTCCCGGACCAGGGCTTGAACCCGTGTCCCCTGCATTGGCAGGAGGATTCTTAACCACAGAGCCCCTAGGGAAATCCCTGACCTGATTTCTAAGGCTTATTGGTCACTCACTTGGATGGTTTGTTAGCACCTCTATTTTGCAGGTTCAAAAAAAAAATAAGCCTCACTTTGACCATCCTCCCCAACTCTCTCTCCATCCTGCCTTCCTGAGTTTTACTTTTGGTCCTGGAGCTCATAGACCTGAAACCTTCTATCCGTCTTAGCCTCTTCTTCCTATCTCAGTCCACACATCCGTTCAGTGGTTGGAACCCACTCCCCTCACATTCCCAGAAGACGTCCTTCACTCTTTCACACATGGTTTCTACCCATATCCTGGCCTCATGGGTCTCAGCTTTACTCCTACCATTGCCCTAGC